TTCGGTGGGATGTTTACGCCAATGTTCGCTCGATCTATATGAGATATGAGGTAGAGGATTGCCAACATGGGTACGAGACGAATGTCGACCTAATAATGTCAGTAAAATAATATTGTTCCTGCTATCACACTAGCCTACCTTCCGAAGTACTTTCTTCCTCGCTTCCTCTGGATAGTTGATGTAGAAATCAGCATCCTCGGGTGCAAGCCCCAAAACTTGGAAGTTGTCAATCTTGACCATCTGAGGCGCTTTTGAAGCGTGGATCGAATCCGCTGCATCGTCGACGCATTGAATCTCGTTCTTGTCTATAGTAGTCATTATGCTCCGTATGTAATAAGGGTATTTGAACAATATGACAGCGTAGCACGAAGGCTCTACAAAATCGAAAATAGTCCCTTCTACAAAAACCGATACCCCGGGATATACCCCAGGCCTTTATACCTTTCTTTTAGCCTTAGGAACCCGGCAGTTACGTGCCCCGGCTTGCGGAGGATCGTTCAATTGCAGCCACTTGGTTTTCTGGGGAAAGCCAAGGTGCGGGGAAATCTATTCACACTAAACTCAATCTAGATATTCAGCTGCGCTAAGGCACTCCGATGGCGTTGAGATGGCCTCCGCACGAATCAGAGATAAATCCGCTCTTCTCGGATATATGCAAGTATCTCCGAAACATCACCAATTCATATCCTGACTTCAGTGCCATACTAATAGCAGGTCTTCCACTCCACTCCATACTATACTTCATCCCCTATTCTTCTACTGTCTATTTCAGGGCACATCTTCACAGTCATGGCGCCCGCACATGTTACTCTTCCTACTTCTGTGCTGCCAGCACGGCCGCCAGCTACCTTCGTAGATATCCACAAAACTAATTTACAGCCGAATGAGTCGACGATACAAACTGTGGACGCGCTAGTTCGACATCGTGCGCGTCAAAGTCCTAATACCACCATTGTCTCATATCCAAAGTCGGGGACAAATTTTGTCGACTACTCGATGCAACAATTAGACGTTTTTGCCTTTAGAGCGGCCCGTCATTACCAGGCATTTATTCCGACAAGGAAAAGCTCATCAGAAAAGCCTACAACAGTAGCGCTTCTTGGTCCCAGCAACTTTGAGTACTTGGTCACGATGCTGGCTCTGGCCAAGCTTGGCCACACAGTGTTGTTCCTCTCGACTAGGATATCTCAAGCTGCCATCGACTCATTGGTAGCGACAACTGGCGCCACATATCTATTAGCAGACTCGCGATATGCTTCAAAGGCCTCTGAAGCTCAAAAGAGCCTTCCTGACTTGTATATTAGTCAGATCGTCACGTCAGACATCTTCGAGTTCCCCATTGAAGTTCACGCGGATACTCGCCTCGATTATCAACTTGATCATAACATCGAAGCTTCGAATAACATTTTCATCATCCACTCTAGCGGTGAGTAGCACATGAAAAGTTGAATAGCCCTTGCTGATTCGGCTCAGGCTCTACTGGACTACCCAAGCCCATCTACCAGCCTCAGAAAAGCACAATTGCAAACTACGCCATCACCATGAACATGAAGGCGTTCATAACCCTACCACTGTACCACAATCACGGCATCTGTAATTTCTTCCGTGCAGTGCATAGCTGTAAATCCATCCACATCTACAACGCCGACCTTCCTCTTACACAGCCACACCTTGTAACCATCTTGAAGCAGCATGACTTTGAGATTTTTTACGGTGTTCCCTATGCTCTTAAACTTCTCGCAGAAACTGATGAGGGCATTCAACTTTTGAAGCACCTAAAGGTTGTGATGTACGGAGGAAGCGCTTGTCCAGATACCCTGGGCAATTTATTAGTGGATAATGGAGTGAATCTAGTCGGTCACTACGGAGCGTAGGTTTTTGTCTTTGCATACATCCTTCATGCAAGCTAACAAGACGCAGAACAGAAGTGGGTCAGCTGATGACATCTTTCCGGCCTCAAGGAGACACAGCATGGAATTATGTTCGCGAAACTCCAAAGCTTTCTCCTTTTCTTCGATGGGTTCCTCGCGGAAACAATCTGTATGAATGCACAGTCTTGCCAGGGTGGCCGGCAAAGGTAGCTTCCAACCTTCCCGATGGTAGCTACGCCACGAAGGATCTCTTTGAGCCGCATCCAACTATTGAAAAGGCTTGGAAATACATTGCTCGCCTCGACGATACCATTGCATTGCTGAACGGGGAAAAGTTCAACCCAGTCATGATGGAGGGCACCATCCGATCGCATCGAGCTGTCAAAGAGACTATCATTTTTGGTTTCAACCGACCTTGTCTAGGCATCTTGATCGTGCCTGCAATTGAAGGCATTTCAGGGTCTGAAGTTATTGATGAGATATGGCCTGTTGTCGAAGCAGCAAATCAGACGGCGGAAGCATACGCAAGGATATCCAAGGACATGATTCGGGTCTTGCCGTACAATTGCCCATTTCCCCGTACAGACAAGGGAAGCGTTATTCGACAAGCCTTTTACAAGGAGTTCGCAACCGAAATCGAAAATGCATACGATGAAGCGGCAACGAGCCACGGTGATCTCAAAACTCTCACTGGCTCAGAACTCGAGAATCACCTTCGCTCTATCCTAATCAAGCACACGCCGTCTGCAAAAGATGTAGATCGTACAACCGATCTTTTCTCTCTTGGAATCGATTCTCTTCAATCCATCCAGGTGCGGACAGATATTCTGAAGACTGTCGATATTGGCGGCAACAAACTTGGCCAGAACGTCGTTTTCGACTATCCGACAATTGCATCACTCAGCGCCCATCTTCACCGCCTTCGCACTGGCGAAGGAGAGCAGCAGTTGACACTGGCAGAGCAAATGGGAGATCTTGTGTCCCGATACAGCTCATTTGAGCCAGTCCAAAAAAGACGTTCCGTTGCGCTTACTGGTGCCACAGGCTCTCTTGGAGCCCATGTCCTCGTACAATTAATCGGGCGTCCAGACGTTGAGGCAGTGCACTGCTTGGTACGTGCCAAGACCAACGGCGATGCCATGCAACGTGTTCGAAAGTCGCTCATAGACAGAAAAGTCTATCATACGTTATCACTCTCAGCGCGCAGAAAGATACACGTACTAGCAGCAGATCTTTCCGATGCTCGCCTCGGCCTAGATGACGCAGCCTACACGGCAATCGCTTCGAATCTTACTGGCATTATTCATTGTGCCTGGAGCGTCAACTTCAATAAGAATCTTGTTTCTTTTGAAAAAGACTGCATCGCTGGCGTGCGCCATCTCATTGATCTCTGTATGGCTACATCCTCGACTGCACCTGCAACTTTTGACTTTTGCTCGTCGGTCAGCACAGTCGCGCAGTGCCCTGATTTGAACACGCCTGAACGAGTAGCGGAATATGATTGGGCTCAGGGAATGGGATACGCACAGAGCAAGTGTGTTGCAGAGCACATTTGCATGGCTGCTGCACAAAAGACAGGCATCAAGGCTCGAGTGCTGCGTGTTGGTCAGATCGTGGCTGACACAGTGCATGGAGTATGGAACGCTACTGAGGCCATTCCTCTCATGATGCAATCTGCACTCACCATTGGGGCACTTCCCCGTCTACAAGAGTCGCCAAGCTGGACACCTGTCGACGTGGTTGCTAAAGCAGTGACGGAAATTTCGTTCAGCGATGCCGATTCTGTGGTTGTGAACGTTACAAATGCAAAGACATTTTCTTGGACTAATCAACTTCTGCCTGCTTTACGCGAGGCTGGCCTCGAGTTTGAGGAGGTCGAGCCCAAGGAGTGGGTACGAAGGCTTCGCACATCGAATCAGGATCCAGTGGCCAACCCATCCGTCAAGCTGGCTGATTTCTTCGCAGCAAAGTATGACAAGGATAGTTTCAGTCCTACACGGACATATGAAACAGCTGTTGCGCGCTCGTACTCGCCGTCACTAGATGCTGCTCCCGTGCTCAGCACAGAGTTTGTCAAGACTTTCGTGAAGCAATTCCAAGCCACAGCATGGCGCGCGCCGACTTCCGGTTTCACAGAAAAGAAGAAGTTTGTTGTATTCACCGGACCTTGCGGAAGCGGTAAATCGACTATAGCGAAGAACCTTGCTGGCCGCTTCAAGGCTTCATTCATCGAGGGTGATGATCTGCACACAGCAGACGCCGTCACCGCAATGGCCGCAGGGACACCTCTCGATGACAAAATTCGGACACTCTGGCTAGAACGTCTCAAGCAACGGGCTCTCGATACTACCACTACACTAGGCTATGATTGCATCTTTCTTTCTTGCTCTGCTCTGAAGAAGTCTTATCGCAATCATCTTCGCAACTTCCCTAACGACGATGTCAATGTCACGTTTGTGGATCTGCAAGTGGAGCAGGAGGAGCTTGTACGTCGGGTCAAGGAGAGAAAAAACCATTACATGAAGCACAGTATGGTGGAGAATCAGCTTGCTACCTGGGAAAGACCCGATGACTCAGAGACGGACGTACTTCCTGTTGATGCTGGGCAGCCTGTCGAAGTGGTTATGGAAGAAGTGGCAAGCCTTTTGGACGGGCTTCATAAATGCGGATAGAACAACCAATCGATAGATTTAGATTAACAGATTCATAAGACTATACATACCAACTTGTTCAAACTAAACACTTATAATCTAAGCATAAATTCATTCAGTGATCCATCCCAACCTTGATAACGTGCATGCTCACCTCTATCTGACCTATTTTGACTGGATCAGAATAGATAAGATGGTTAAATCAGCAAGCGGATTAGTGAATCTGCATCAGCAAGATCACTTATGGTGCAACAACTTTACATCATTTTTATGAACCAAATGATAATGAATCGCAGCTGTTGTCTCATGTTAATTCCTTCTGCCTGCAATGCACAGTTATTTTCTAGAATGTGTGGTTCCTATCATGGGCAAGGGAGATCTAGCAAACGAGTGTGTAATTAATCTATCCAACGACCCTAGAAGTTTCTATCCCTTGTATCTACCAAGTTACAGCTGCATTTGCGATTATATGCAGTTACTAGGCATTCTCTGCGTAAACGCAGTCGCCAACCTTGTTTCGATTGACTCCCGCAGGGCAGTCGAAGCAGGCTCCAACATACTCGCCACCGAGCTCCTGAGGAGCCAACGAGTCCTGGCAACCATATATTTTGGTACAAATCAAGTTATAAAGTGCTGGTCCATTGCCTGCGGATGTAATACCGGAGGTGCAAGTGACAGTTGCACTGATAAGATCTCTTGCTTGAATGGCAGAAGAGCCCTCAATAGGACTAGCAATAGTAGTCGTGGCAAGTCCAAGGATGGCAGCAAGGTAGGTAGTTGGCTTCATCTCTAGATTGTGTTAGTAATTATTCTATTCGTTGTAGGTAGGATCTTACTTGTAACGATTCAGTTGAAATGGGTATTCAGATACGTAATGTGTCGGTCAATGGCTGAATCGAGAAGTTTTAAGACGAGTATTTCAAAATCGAGGTAGGGAAGTAGGTGTCTGTTGCTTTGTAGGCAATGAAGTCTACGAAGGAGAAGGATGGCAGTTTATATGCAGATTCTCTATCACTTAGTGAAATGAACTAAGCTGTCCAAATACCCCTTAGCGATTATCGAGTCGCACCCCTTTTCATATGCTTATTAATGTTTGCATGTGTCGCTTCCCACTCATGAGAACTGACTATTCCCATGCTTTACGACCGAAAAAGGACCTCAAGCTAGATATCGCATGAGTGACGCTAATTTTCACACGACTCTCCACTAGCCTCCTTCAGTCTTAGGTGGATCTTTCTCTATGACTTTCTCTTATTTTCCACCAGGCTTTGTGCACGACGGTATTTCTCCCGAAGCTACAGAGGTGCCTTTCAAAAGTTCTGTCTGCTAAGAATAATCTACCCGAAGTACGGCCGCCTTACCTAAGGCTTATCTCTTCCCTCTATATACTTATTACTACCTTATAGCTTAATTATCTTTTAGA